TCCTCCTCTGCTTCCTCCCCACCCCCACCTTGCACATGACAGGTGTTTTTCTGGGGGAGGAGGAGCTGGACTCCCACCTCTCTTGGTCTCAAACCTGGCCGCAGGTGCAAGCAGGTGAGCCAGTGGAGCCCTGCCCACCTGAGCAGCTCTGTCCTCTTCACCCACAGGCTGCGCAGCCCCTGGGTGCCTTCATGCCTCGGGCAGCCCCACGTCCTGCAGGGCCGGCTGGCCAGGTCCTCACCCTCGATCTGGGACAGGTAACATGCCTGTTGTCTCCCTCAGCTCCTTGGTGTCTCTGCGTCTGTCCCCAGACGTCTGTCCCCTGTCTGCGTCCAAGTCGCGGGGACAGATGGGGAGGCTGAGGCATTGTCGCCACTACCACTGCGCTGTCCTTGGGCTCAGGCTTCATGAAGGAGGAGAGCAGGAAGCCCACTGAGGTTCAGGGGTTTCTCACAGGCAAGGAAGGGGCCAGAACCAAAGACATGCATGCAGGTTCAGATCCTTATCTATTGTATCAGGGGCAGGATGGAAGCAGGTGACATCACAAGACAGGAGCTGAGTGTGACTCTCAGCAGGGCTGTCCCAGTTCCCAGCACCTCAGTCCCCCCAGCCAGGCATGGGCTGCTGGGGATGCGGCCCCTAAGTGGGAAGGTGGCATCAGGAAGGACTCTCAAACACTCCTTGTATGTCTGTGAAGGGCGGTTTCTCTGACCCGTCTCAACCACATCCTCTTCTGGGCTGCAGAGCAGAGTCTCCCTGGCTTCCCAGCAGCCAGAGACCCCCACTCCCTGTGCCCCTTTGTATCTGAGTGATTCTACACTGAGCATGGATCAAGGGCCCCAATGGCCTTCCCAGGGCAAAGCTGAGGAAGGATGAGCTTCTGAGAAACCAAGCCCCCAGAATGAGGTGACCAGCTGTGAGGGGCCAGGTGGGCCCTGAGGGGCAGGGTGGCTGTGCCCAGTTCGTCATGGGGAGTGGGAAGGCAGGAGAGGGCAGTGAGTGACTGACCCCATGTGTGCCAAGCCTGAAGCTAGCCCCAGAGAGGGAGAGGTGGTGACCTCTGGGGTAGGTTGAGGACTGGGGGGTGGGGCTTTAGGCAGAAGTGGGCCCAGAGAGATGGAGGCTAAGAGTCAAGGGGCTGTGAGGGGAAAGTTGGCCCCACAGGAAAGGGACATAGGGGCACACTGCTGGACCCCTGAGATGAGAGGCTTCCTGGGTAGGCAGGGGTATAGGAGCTTCGGCCATGAGGGAGGGCCAGTGAGTTGTGACCCAGTGTCTGAAAGACTACCTGGGAGCCGGAGGGACACCGAGGCTCAGCTGGGGCCAGCTCTGTGGCAAGGGAGCTGTGTCCCCTCCCTAAGCTGTCCAAACTTGTCCTTTGCTCACCCCTCCTACCCTGGGTCAAATTTGGACACCATGTGGCCCCCTGGACCACAGGCCCTGCGGGACACCCAACACGGAGCACATGTCAGCAGGAGGCATGTCAGGACAGATCTGAGCTGTCCTGGGTTGGGGGGGCTGAGGAAACTGTGGGTGCTTCCAGGATGGGCAGAGGGGGGTGAGGGGAGACAGTGATCTATAGGGGGTGGAGCGGAACTAAAGTGACCTTATTGCTGCCCGAAGGTACAGCATCCTCTGACCAGCCTCACCCTGTCCCCAGGGTCACCAGAGGGTCTCAGACCCCAGGGCCCAGCTGTGCCGGGCCCCACTCCCACTCAGGGGGATCCGAGTGGGCAGGGGAAGTGGCTGTGTGTGCCCACGGCACCCACCTGGAGTCCCTATATGCTTTGTTGTCTGTGTGTCTTGCCCATCCCCTGACTCATCTGTTCGGTGTCCCTGTACTGACCCAGCAGTGTGGGTGTGCAGCATGTGGCCAAGTGACCACTGCTGTGGTAACTGTGAGGTTCTGGGGGCACCCAGTGTGTCCTGCTGGCTGGGACCCTCAAGACATCCTCATCCAGGGTCCTCCAGCTCATCTGCTGCAGCCCCCAAGGGACAAGGCTGTCCCTCCCCTAGTCCCTGGGGGCTCACCCCTGTGGGGCTGGAGTGTGCATCACAGATACTGAACCGCCCCACCAACCCACCTGTCTGGACTTTCTGTGCTCCCCACTCCCACTGGGAGAAGAGGCTGTGGCTCTGGGCAGCCTGAGGTGGGGGACCAGGCTGGGAGAGGTAGGGCAGTCTTGGAAAACTGCTTGGAGGCAATGCTCAGATCTCTGGGCTCCCCATTCATCTGTCGTCTGTCTCCTCTCTGGTTCTGACTCTTGAGAACACCCACCCTGCCCATCTCTGAGGCTCTCAAAATCATCAGCAGCTTTTATTTTTATTTATCTTTTTAAAACATAGATCTGGGCGGGAATCCAAGAATGCGTACTCTAAGTTTTCTGGGTGCTCGCCGCGGTGACCATGTAGTTTCTTTGCTGTCTGTCTGCCAGGGCTCTCTGATGCTGGGGACTACCTCCTGACGACCACTACCCCACCCCCACTCAACTTAGGAGTCCATCAGACTCAAGAGGGTGGGCCATTGCCCCAGAATTCAGCACATGGGCAAAGCTAGGGCTCCCAGTTCCATTGAGACACCCCTCTTCCGGGCCTTATAGCAAACTCATCTGAGGTTACCATCCAAAAGGAAGTCAGTGTCAGCTTCAAGTGGTACCCCAGGCTCGGTTCCCTGCAGTCCCCAGGGTTGGCTCTAGATAGACTCCGGAGGGTTGTGTTCATTTCAGCGTGGGTAGTGACTTCAGTACCTACTCCGCTGGGCATCTCTGATGGGATTCTTTCAGAGCCAAGGCTTCTTGCTCACGGGCCAGCCTAATCTCCTTTCTGGGACCCTGCTGACCACCAGCTAGGCCTGACAGTGCCCACTTCTGTGCCCACCAGACCCACTAACCTTGCTGTTGAACCCACTGACCTTGGCATGAAGAGCATCTATCCCCACATTCCAGGAGCAGCCAAGACTTGGGCGTGGACAGCTTGGGGCAGATGACCAGGAAAAAACAGCCGATCTGGGATGTGGCAGAGCTCCCTGCTCAGTCCATAAGGCTGGGCTGAATTCCACTGGGATCTGCCTGGCCCTTCTGGCTCCACTGTGGTGCTAATGTAGAAGACAGAGTCTGTGGCTCTCTATCTGATTAGCAAGGTTACGATGACCAAGTCTTCACTCCATCTGTCCCTGATGCCAGCAGAACTCTTGTGCTCTCCACTGTCTCCTCACCCATTTACAGCAGGTCCCCTTCCCTATTAAAATCACCTCCCCCACTGTCAACCATCTGCCCCTTCTGGAAACTTGACTGGCTGCTGGCCTCCACCTTTGTGCAGCTAGGGCTGGGAACCCTTGGTCCAGCTTCTTCCTGCTTTTCTCCTGTTTGCTCACAAACCAGCGTCACTCCAGCTGCTGGTAGGAGGGCTTCCAGAGGTAGAGTCAGATTTAGAGCCATGTGAGAATGGGTAAATATTTGACCTCTGTAGACCTCAGTGTCTCACTCTGTAAAGTGGGCGTAATTACTGCATCTGCCTTATGAAGGACCGTTGGAAGGACTCCGTACTTAGAATGGAGAGTGCTGGGGTCTTTGGGAACACTCCTTAGCAGAGGCCAAAGTTACAAAGGTTCAACCAGTAGTAAATGGACCCATACACAGGGTTGGACCACACGCGGGGTCCTACACACAAGATCAGACCCACATTGGGTGGACCCACATACCGGGTCACCATTTCTTTTTTTTTGCCTCTCCTTTTTTTTTGTTAAGTTTTTATTGTGAATTGAGTGATAATTTACACGGGAGAACATCAGCTTTATATTCCTCGTAATGTATTTCGCTTTCTTGTAATGACTACAATCCCCTCCATGCACCATCATTCAACAGCATTTGCTTCCATTCCCTCTGGGGTTTTTTTTTGTTGTTGTTGTTTATGTATACTGAAGCACTCAGGAATATATAACCATTCAGGCACCCAAAGGGCATACCCTGCAAGCCTGCTCACCGGCCGCCAGCACACAGCCCCTCTCCTTCCTTGAGTCTAGAGTCCCCAGCCGCTCCATCTCTGGCGGATAGGGTCCTGCACTCCGCTCTTCTCCCTTTATGGTCCCAGGGTCCTCCGCTCCTGGACTGCAAGATCAAGGGTCATCATTTCTTTACTGAGTACCTGCTGCGCCCTGAGGCTGAGTGGGCAGAAGGGTGTGGTCCCTGCCCTGGGGGTACTACACAGCTAGTCCCCTGGGGTGGCCCTCGTGGGCAAAAATGTAGTTTTAGTGACATGACAGTGGACGGCTCAGGAGTGGGATTGGGCCAGCGCCGTTCCCTGAGCTAGTGTGCAGGGTCCTAGGGTCCCCCTTGAGGAGCGCCCTCCACCCCCGCCTGTCAGTGGGAAGAAGTGGGGCCTCGGGGTGGCCACCCTGGACCACAGCTCCCCTGGAAGAAACAGCTGAATTGCTACTTTGGGTAGCCTCAGTTTCCAAAGGAGGAAACCATCTTTTGCTTGGCCAGAGGCCGCTGGGCCAATTCAGGCGGGAGGCCTGGTTCTAGGGTGGCCCCGCTCTGGCTGTGGCGTCCAGTGAGACTGAGATCACTCCCCTGCGAAGGGGAAGCTACTGTGGACACCCTCAGACACATTAGCTGGGTTCTGGGGTCGGTTGTTTCTTCCACTTGTTTAGTCCTCCCTTGGGACCCCAGAAGTCTTTTTCCTTCTGACGGGGACACTGCCCTTAGCTGGGAAGCCAGTCCCTGACCCACCTGGCAGACCCCTCCAGAAGCCACTGGAGAGGTTCGGTGTGTGGTTCAGCCCTATACACACAGTGCCCCACTGGCTCGCGCGTGTGTATGATGCGGGCCGGATACATGCTGCGTGTGTGCGTGTGTGTGGTTCCATGCTGCGTGTGTGTGTGTGTGTGTGTGTGTGTGTGTGTGTGGTTCAGCCCAGGCACACAAAGCGCCTCGTTGGCCCTCGGGCCTCAGCTTCCCCGCTCAGCGCCGCGGCCCGGCCCCCGCCGCGTGTCGTTGCAGCGCGCTGCAGGAACAGAAGGGCGAGCTGCGCAAGCGGCTGTCCTATACGACGCACAAGCTGGAGAAGCTGGAAACCGAGTTCGACTCCACGCGCCACTACCTGGAGATCGAGCTGCGGCGCGCGCAGGAGGAGCTCGAGAAGGTCACCGAGAAGCTGCGCCGGTGAGGGGCGGGGCCAGGCGGGAAGGGCGGGGCACAGCGGCGCCCAGGGCTCAGCTTTCAGGTCCTGGAACACCCCGCCCTTGCCAATAGGAGTCAAGTTTCTCTGGGGGCACTTTGTTTCGGGACGGATCCCTGGGGCAGCGTGGGGGCTAGTGAGTGTCTGTAGTGATCCCCGCAAAACCACACTTGTGAGGCCCTTTGTTCCCTGCACCTTTAAGGTGGAGACGTCACACTTTTCACACACTTTTGTCCTTCACCCGGCAGCCTTTGCGTCTGCCATCTGTGTTAAACAGCCTCCCAGAGGGCACTTGCCATGGGCGGTTGGCGCCTTTCTGATGACCCAGACTGCAGGACTTTTTCAACTTCACTGTCGAATCAAATGGGAACAAAACCGGGGCGCCATTGGTTCCAGCTCAACCACCTACTGCTTTAAGCGCCTCTAGCCTCAGTTTCCCTATTGTTGAGATGGGGGAGTGACCCTACATCCTGTCCCCAGGTCCCTTGCTGCCAAAGTGGAAGCCCAGACCACCTGCAACCACCTTCAGTTTCTGCCTCCTCCAGGGCAGAAACAGCCCTTATATTATATTGTGAGCTTCCAGTCTCCATCCACAGCCAGTGTCTGCCTCTCTTTCCCACTGACTCCACCGGCAGGACACCCCATTGGTCTCCAGAGGGTTACAGGGGGGGCTCAGCTGTTGTTGTGAAGTGCCGTCGAGTTGATTCCGACCCATAGCAACCCTGTAGAGGGTTTCCAAGGAGCAGCTGGTGAGCTTGAACCACCGACGTTGCAATTCAAAGGATTTTGCAGTCTGACGCATTAGCCCACAGCACCACACCAGTGGACCCTTCTTATTGTGTGTGGGGCTTCAGGAGGTACCGTATCGGGGGTTCCGGGAGGGTCAAGCCCACACAGCAGTGACCCTTCATCATCTGTTCCAGGATTCAGAGCAACTACCTGGCTCTGCAGAGAATCAACCAGGAGTTGGAAGACAAGCTATACCGCATGGTGAGGGCCCACAGCCCGCCAGGGCCTGGCATTGCCCGCCCGCTCCTCAGGTCTTACGTCCCAAACCCAGAGCCCCCCAACCTGGAGGCATGAAAGCAGGGCTGTAGGAGAGGGCCTGCCCACCCATGGCATCAGCTTACAGATAAGGCATTTATGATGGTACAAGGAGAGGCATGAAGGAGCCAACCTGGGAGTGAGGCAGGACCAGTGGCCAGGTGTCCACTGCCCGGGCCAGGCACAGGAGCTGCCTGCAGCCTTTCATGGCAGCCACGGGCTGGGCTTCCAGCACAGGGGCCAGTAGAGGTTCCTCATGGCCTCCTCTAGTCCAACCCTAGGCCCCAGACCGGGTACCAACCACTAGGGCACACAGCTCAGGGGTAGTTGACATACACGGTGGCTTTTGTAAATGCCAGGACTTGTGAGAGGGGAGATTGCAGGCCAAAGCCAGCAGGGAAGGTTTTCAGAAGGGGGAGGGTCTGGTTCAGCTCCACCCCATCCTGCACTAGGACAAATCAACAGTAACATTAGCAATACCCTGGCTCATCTGTGAGCTTGTGGAATGCCTAGGTTTATCGCTGAATGCAGCCATGCTCTACCATCACCCAAACACTCAGGAGGTAGGACATTGTTGGCCCCGTTTTACCGATGAGGAAACTGAGGCTCAGGAAGGAAGTGATGGACCCAGGGTCTTCTGGCTTGTCAGTGGTAGAATCAAGATTTTAACTTGAGCCATCTGGCTTCTTAACCCCTGCCCCTCTTGGCCCACAAGCACCTCATTGTTGATGGCAGCGGAGGTCCCAATGATCCGCTGGTCCAGCACCAGCCCTGAGCCCTTGCCCTGCCCTCCCCGGGGGATCACCCGCCCACTCCAGGGCTGCCCGTCACAGGCTGGGCTGGCTGCTGACCACTGCCTTTGCTGCCCTCAGGGTCAGCACTATGAAGAGGAGAAACGGGCCCTGAATCACGAGATAGTTGCCCTCAACAGCCACCTGCTAGAGGCCAAGGTGACCATCGACAAGCTGTCGGAGGACAACGTGAGTACGTGCGCCAGGCCTGCCTCTGGGGCCAGGGCCAAGACACAAGGAGTGGCTCCCCATCACCCAGATGTCGGTGTGCCGGTGTGTAGGGAGGGCACCTTACTCAGGTGTCACAGAGCTGGTGGTGAGGACTGGTGGGTGGTGGTTAAAGCCACAGACAGAGGGGAGGGCTGGTGAAGAGGGAGGCCTGGGACAGAGTCAGGTAACTCCGCGGAGTGGCCAGCGAGGCTGGAGGGGACACCGGGAGCTGTGATCCAGCTGGCCAGCACGTCAGGAGCAGTGGAGAGGCTGGGAAGAAACATGGCTCTGGTACATGGGGTCCAGGAATGAGTGGAGAGGTGGCATCATGAATGGAACCTCCAGGGATACCAGTGCAGAGCACTGTGGCAACAGCATGGTTCCTCCCCAGGGACAGTCACTGCTGCCAGTCCTTGTGGACACACGGCTAGCCTTGGTGATGCTCCAACTCCCGGGTGGTCACTTGGCAGCAGTCAGAACTTGAACTCAGGGCCATCTGACTCCAGAGCCCAGTCCTCCTGGTAGTCAGAACGCCTGCCACCACCTGCCCCCTTGGTTTGGCATGTCGCCACCAGCACTTCCTCCTTGTGCCCCGGGAGGGCTCCTTGTCTGTTCTGAACCCACATGACAGATGCTGCCCAAGACTACTCCCTGGCACAAAGGCACCCACTGTGGCTGTTCTCAGAGGTCCATCTGAACTGGCCAGGCAGTGTTCACAGCCCTCAGGAGCCAGTGGCAGTGGGTCTGGAACCTCTTAGGGGTGCTAATACTCAGCTCTCAGTGAGGTTCGAGGACACATGGAGAGAGAGGGTCAGGAACCCAGATCCGCTCCATGATGTGGCCAACTCCTAAGCCTCTGACCTGCCTGCAGGTCAGAGAAGGCTGCTCCAGGCCCTGGTGGGGGCAGATGGCGCCCTGTGCTTCACACCGCTTCACCTGGGTGTCCTGCCTGGTCTGGACAGGGCGTAGTCCTGGGCCAGGAGCATGGTGTGTGGGGCACCTCGGGTGGGGTCAGGACCCCAGGCTGGCTATCAGGGCCTTGTTTTGGGGGGGTCGTGGTGGGGAGTGAGGGACAGAAGGCCCAACCATAGGCACATGCAACAGAGATTTTCAAAGACATGAGAGCCCCGAATCCTACTGTTTGCATCTGTTTTCGCTCAGCAGGCTGAGCTTGTCCCCACTGGACCAGACCACACGGCTCCCCTACCCCCACTTCCAGCCCTGTGTCCTGCCCAGCCCTGGGCATGTCTGGGCTGCAGGTCCATTTGGTGCTCAGCACTTTCCAGTTAAGTTCCCCTTGAAGGGGGCTCCGGGCTGGGGCCGCCAGCAGTTCCTGGGGGCCTTGGGGACCTTCTGTCACTGCCCACTGGGGGCACTGTCTGGGACAGCATTCTACAGGCGGAACATGAGGCCCTGAGAAGGGGCAGCCATCAGGGCAGCAGGCACCCTGGCGAGGGGCGAGCCTGCGGGCGCCAAACCACGTTCTCTTTCTTTCAGGAACTCTATAGGAAGGACTGCAATCTAGCGGCTCAGCTGCTGCAGTGCAGCCAGACCTATGGCAGGGTCCGTAAGGTGTCCGAGGTAACGTGACCACCTGCAGCCAGGCCCTGCCTGGGGCCCCCCCTGTCCAACCCCACCCTGCGGCCCTTCCCACCCAGAGAGATGTGGAGACTTCCAGACCCACTCCACCTGCGGCCACCTCACTTCCTTGGCCCATCAGTCCCCCTGTGTCCTGACCCTAGGGCCCTCCACTGAACCCTGATGTGGGCATTCAAACACAGACAGTGCCCATTTGAGATTCAAGAGGGCTGGCTGAGCCAAGGGCTCAAATGCAGGTCTGCTCTGTAGGCCCGGGCCTGCTTGCCCGCCCCCCCCACCCCCGCCTTCACCTGGGCTGCTCTCATAGAGTACCCCTTCCCTGGGCCTGAGCCCAGGCCCACCTGAGACATTCACAAAATAGATCAAACAGTAGCGCATGACCCCCACAAGGCACCAGGGCTGGCAGACCCTCGTGTGCTGCCCCGGCTTCCTCAATCTTTGTTGCATCTGTTTCTGACTGTGTCTCGTGTCAGGGGACCCTGGCTGGCACAACTAGGGTCAGGAGTGTGGGGAGCTGAACAGCAAGGCAGCCCCCATTGGGCAGGAACTAGTGGGGCTCTAGGCCCCAGGGGCCCACTCAGCGGGGTCCAGCCTCTGCTTGGCGGGGCATGACCCGTGGGTATGGGCAGAGGTGACTCGGGAGTGTAGGCAATGGCGGGCCCTGGGCCCGGTTCCAGCTCATGTGCTGTGGGAATCCCTGGGGAGGTCCCTGCTCGTCTGTCTGTCTGTCTGTCTGACCCCCGCCCACCGCACCACTGCAGCTGCCCTCGGATTTCCAGGAACGAGCGAGCCTGCACATGGAGAAGCTTGGCTGCAGCCTGCCCACCTCTCTCTGCCACCCGGCCTATGCGGACAGCGTGCCAACCTGTGTCATCTCCAAGGCCCTGGAGAAGCCGGACCCTGGCAGCCTGTCCTCCCGCCTGTCGGACGCCTCGGCCCGCGAGCTGGCCTTCCGCGACGGGCTGGAGAAGCCGAGCCCGCGGCCCCCATACAAGGGGGACATCTACTGCAGCGACACGGCCCTCTACTGCCCCGAGGAGCGGCAGCGCGACCGGCGGCCCAGCGTGGACCCGCCCGTGAGCGACGTGGGCTTCCTGCGGGCACAGAACTCCACCGACAGCGCAGCCGACGAGGACGAGGACGAGGAGGCCCGGGCGGCCGCCTTCCCCAGCGGCTTCCGGCATGACGCCTTCCCAGCCTACGCAGGCTCGCTGCCCACGTCCAGCTCGTACTCCAGCTTCAGCGCCACGTCCGAGGAGAAGGAGCAGGCCCAGGCCAGCACGCTCACCGCCTCGCAGCAGGCCATCTACCTGAACAGCCGCGACGAGCTCTTCGAGCGCCCACCGCCCGCTCCGCCAGCCTACCAGGGCAGCCCGCGCTTCGCCAAGGCCGCGGCCGCGGTGGCCGGCCCACTCGAGGCCGAGGTGGCCCCGGCCTTCGCGCGGACCGTGTCCCCCTACCCGGCCGAGCCCTTCCGCTTCCCGGGCTCCCCGGGCCCCCAGCAAGCCCTGATGCCCCCCAACATGTGGAGCCTGCAAGCCAAGCCGGCCTCGGCGCGGCTGTCCGGGGAGGACCTGCGGGCCCAATGGCGGCCGGTGAGCGTGGAGGACCTGGGCGCCTACTCCTACCCGGCCTCGGCCGCTGGCCGCGCGTCCCCCTGCAGCTTCTCCGAACGCTACTACGGCGGCGCCGGGGGCAGCCCGGGCCCGAAGGCCGAGGGCCGCGCCAGCCCCCTCTACGCCAGCTACAAGGCGGACAGCGGCTCCGAGGGCGACGACCTCGCCCAGGGCCACCGGGCTGAGCCCTGCTTCCGGAGCCCCGGGCGCTCGGCCGATCCGCTGCCCGGCTACGCGCCCAGCGAGGGCGACGGGGTGCAGCTGTGCGGGGCGGCCGGCAGCCCGGAGCCCGAGCGCGGCCACGGCTACGGCAGCGAGCACAGCCCTCACAGCTCCCGGGACTCGCTGGGACCCAGCTCCATGGAGGCCTCGCCCGAGATGCGGCCTGCAGCCCTGCTCAGCCCCCAGCAGGCCTTCCCTAGGACTGGGGGCTCGGGTCTGAGCCGCAAGGACAGCCTGACCAAGGCCCAACTCTATGGCACCTTGCTCAATTGACCCGGGAGCCAGCGGGGGTCCTGCCCACCAGGGGGATCCGGGAAGGGAGACAGCTTCAGCTCTCCCTAGACACCCATGTCCCCATCCCCCGAAACGAGGAGCCCCAAGTGGAGGGCTCCCACTCCCCTCCACATCCCCTACCCCCCTAGCCCAGTAAGAACCTGGGAGGAGGGTCCCACCCCATCCTCCCATGGCGCAACGTCCACTTAGAACGTTTTTCACACGCCCACGTTCTTCACGTCCGAGATGAGCATCCCCTTTTATAAAGCGAAACTATTTTTATAGAGAAAAAGGATCTTTCTTAGCGCACATGGTCTCCAGCCCTCTGGGCCGCAGCCTTGGCATTTCCAGCACAAAGTTCCTTCATTTTTCGGACGAGGGCAAGCGGGGTCTCAGAAGGGACGGAGTGGGGTCTTCATGAGACCAGACTCCACACGGGGACACGCCCCAGCCAGCCAGTGGCCAGGGGACGCCGAAGCTTTGTCCACACTGAGGGGAGTGAGAGGACAGGGAGATGTTTTGAAAGTCTCTTTTTCATGGTGTGGCTGACGCGCCGCCCTGAACGCTTCCAGGGTGCCCAGTACGCCCCCCACCCCCCACCTCGCGTGGGGCCGGGATGGCGTCCGCGTGCAGCCGGTGCTCCTTCTCTTTCCATCGTCCGGCTTTCCGCGCCACCTCACTCTACCTCAGACGTGACGAGGCCCCCGACCCCCTGGTTTCCGTCGCTTGTGTCCCCATTGTCCGCGATGCATGCCCTGTCTCCACTAGTACTGTATTTTGCATTCATTAAATAAAAGACACCGGTGGAATCGTTTGGATTTGGCTGGTTTCTTCTCTTTGCGATGTTTTGTGTCTTTGGTGGTGCTGTGGCTATAGGGCTCAGCTGCTAGCTGAAAGGTGAGCAGTTCAAACCCACCTGGAAACCCTATGGAACAGTTCTATGTCTTGTAGGGTTGTTGTAAATTGGAACTGACACAAAGGCCCTTGCCACCATCTCTGCAGGCCTGCCCCAGCGTCTCCCTGTAAGTTATCCTCCAACGCTTGAGTCCTTTGGGTTCTCTTAGCCCACTAGACATGTCTGGTACTACTCTACCAAAACTCATGGGCACTTCCCCCATATTTGCATCTCTCTTCACTCTTTCTTGCATCTCTGACTTTGCTTCTTCCTAAAGGAGAACCTTTAAGGAGCTCTGGGAGCGTAGGGGTTACAAATCCAACTGCTAACCTCAAGGTCAGCAGTTCAAAACTACCAGCCATTCCCTGGGAGAAAGATGAGGCTTTCTGCTCCCATAAAGTTTTAGTCTCTGAAACCGTATACAGGGTCACAATGCGTCTGAACCGACTCCAAACCGACTCCACAGCATATCACCACCACCACCACCACCACCACCACCACCAAAGAAGGGCCTTTAGAATCTCAGTGCAGGGCTGCCGGTGACAAGTTCATTAAGTGTTACATTTCTCTGACAAGATCCTATTTTTTGCCTCCATCTCTTTTCTGCAAGAACAGAGAATGCTCTGCAAACGGGGAAGCTGCTGGAGTCTGGGTCCCTTCACTTGGTGGTGATGTATCTTTCTTCTATGGCTGCTTAAGATCTTCTCTTTGACTTTGGGTTTCTGCAGTTTCTCAAGTGTGTCTGGGTGTAGACTGATCCTTTCAGAACTCATAGGGAGTTTTGTTATCTGTTGCTTGGTGTAGTTCATCAGTTCTGGGGGAAACTCAGCTACTATTTTCAGAAAGTCTTTCTTGGCCCAGTTCTCTTTCGCATCTCCTGGAACTTCCATCCAGCCTATGGCTCATTCCTGCTGTATCCTCCTTTTCTGTTACCTCTGTCTGGGTTCTCCAGTTCACTAATACCTTTTCTGCCGCATCCACTCTGCTCACAAGCACATCTGCCAGGTTTTTTCATTTTAGTTATAAAAGATTCTCACTTCTCGAAATTTTGTTTGTTTAACAAACCCGCTACGCTAGTGTTTCCGGGCTCCTGTTCTCTGGAAGGATTTTTGAACTTGCCTTTTATTTCCTTACACGGGTTGGGCCCAGTCATCTCAGTCTGGGTTTGCACTCCCACCATCTGCAGTCTGTGTAGTCTGTTTTCTATACTGTGCTCTTTTTAGCCCCGATCATCTCTGATGCATGTCACCAACACCCTTAGGATTTTACTTGTGGGGGTTCTCAAAGCCTAGGATGGAGGCCTCTCCTCCAGAGAGGCTGAGCGTTTACTACTTAGGAGCCTGGGTCAATTCCTGTTGGGCACCAGCTCAGCCCTGGTTCATGTCTTAAAGCTCCCTGACTACCAGCCAAGTGGGGCTGCAAGGTGAGGCTGGACTGCAGGCAGCAGTCCCCAGGACCCCTCCATTCACCTGCAACCACAGAAAAGGTCAGACAGCTGCTGTCGAGACTAAAGGTTGTGGGAACCAGGCCCAGGACAGGGGCACTGCCGTCAGTTCCAGCATCCAATGGGCTCGTAGTCAGGCGGCACAGAGCTGCCTGTCTTACAGTGGTCAGGGGAGCGGACGGTCCCTCCACCAAAGGCTTCCCATGAAAAAGCAGAGTCCAGAGCCTGACCGTGCAGGCTGACCAGGAGCAAGGCAGGTGGGACCAGGGCACCGTGGGTGGCAGGTGGAATGAGGGGCTCTGAGAGCCCAAATACACCAACCTTCCACAGCCCTGACACCTGAAGGCTCACACACCCTTGTCACACAATGTCACACAGACTCTTCACACTGTGGTTGCTACATGACAGGTGCTGTCATAACACACGCTTCCTGGGAGAAGAGGCGAGACACCAAGGCTCAGCAAGGGCTAAGCTGGCAGGGCCCATGATGTTGAGGGATGAATAGGAGTTTGCCAGGTATCTCAGGCACAGTGAAGAGCCCAGAGTGTGGGGTCGCTGGTGAGCGCAGCAACTCTTCAGGGCTTTTGAGTGCCTCCAATGACCAGCAACGGTTCAAGCTCACCAGCTGCTCCTCGGAAACGCTATGGATCGGAACCGACTCGATGGCACTTAACAACAACAATGACCAGCAGACTCCTTCTCCACCCCTAGAACTGTCCTGGAATGGTCTGAATTTGGACCTTATTACCTCAGCAGGCCTTGCCTGCTCCTTTTCTTGACCCCTCTGCCCACCCAGGGGCAGACCGAGCCATGTGTGGTCCCTCTTGCCCCAGCTTTTCCTGGCACTGGACCTGCCGTCTTCAGTGAGGCTACCTGCATACCACTCCCCCACCCCCAGCCCCCACCTACACCAAGGACCATGTGAGGTTGGGCAGTGTCCCGTTCTGGAACCAAGGACATGGGTCGATGCCATTTCCAGCTGTGCGGTCCAGACACTGGGGGGGTCCCACCGGTCACCTGGTTGGGGCTGCAAACCTCGGTTCCCCTTAGCTCAGCACAAAAGTACAGGCTACATCTTGGGGAAATGGCTTCCCAGCCCCTACAATGTCTTTCTATCTGGACTTTGGGTTCTTCAGTTGAGGATAAAGGTGGGGAGAACCCACCCACTTCTGTCTGGCTACCATTCTTGGGACAATCTCTGGCTTTAAAACTGAAAATGGTGAACTGGCCAGCCCCTTGCAGAGGTCCAAGGTGGCCTTCAAGGATGCTGTCTGCATGAAAGCATTTGGAAAAGGAAACGGGAAGGCAGGGACCCTAGCTGTTGTTATTCCTCAACAGAGTTGCCTTAAAAGGAGGGCACCCACAGGGCCTGACTGGGCATTTGCACCCATGGAGGGTGTGCTGGGAATCGGGCGCATGGCACCCCGCGGAGAGCTGGGTGTGTAGGCCAGAGAAGCCCTGGGAGCCAGGTGACCAGTGTTGGAAAGCAGTGGACCTCGAGGCTAGAGGTTTGGGGGGGGGGGCATTGTGACCCTCCCTTTATAGATGATGAAACTAAGACTCAAAGACAAGAGGTGACCAGACAATGAGCTGGGCCTGGGGCCTGGGCTCCAGGCTCCAGGGAGGTAGAACCAGCCCGTCACCTTCTCCCATGGCTACCCGTGCCTGGCCATGGCCTCCTCACGTCCACATCTCCCCACTGATCCCCTGCCAGGGGCATCCCGTATCCTCTGGAACCTTTCAAGGTCACAGGGATGTCCCCTCCCAGGAGTAGTGGCACCTGTGTCCCCACCCTCACAGGCTGATGGTCACTGGTCCTGGTGGTCCAGCCTTCCTCCCAGCCCATTTCCTCGCTGACCCTTGTCCTCTGTAGCATTCCAGGGGGCTGAGCATGAGCACGGGGTTCCTTCCAGAGGAGAGCAGGGGCCCCGAGCCCTGTCCCTGCACACTGCCAACACGCACTTGTTGCTGAGATACACAGAGAACCAGCTCAGTACAGATGTTTATTGAGGGTCTCCACCACCAGCCAGGGGCTCTCACTAGTCAGTCCTGACGCCTTGAGAACAGTGGACTCCTGTCCCCATTTTACAGACAAGGAAACTGAGGCCCCAAGAGTGGTGGAGGTGGTCCTGCTCAGGGGTGGACAAGGGGAACTGGACCGGCAGTGTCCAGAGTATCGGCTGCGGGAGGCTCAGTGCCAGACCTTCACGTCCCCCTCCCAGGAGCAGGTGGCGAGGACAGAGGGCAGCACAGGGTGGAAGGTGACACCAACGCAGGCCTGTGTGTGTCCCTGCAGCGTGCGTGCCCGACTGGCCGTGCGGAAGGTGTACAGCAGGACCCGGCCATCAGCGCTGCCTGTCACCAGCAGGTCCCCGTCGGGGGAGCACTCACAGCCCACCGAGTAGCCTTCCACCTGCAGAGAGCAACACAGGGGAGAGGAGAGTGAGCAGGTGGCACCCCCAGGCAAGCCTATGAGGTGACCATGTGACCTCCACTCTCCAGAGGAGCAAACTGAGGTCCAGCAAGGGGAAGGGACTCACTCATGACCCCAAGCTGGCAAGGGGCAGAGCTGGGCTTCACACACTGAGTCCCCGTGGCTGAACCCTGAGTCTCAGTGGTGGCAGGGCTTGGGTGTGGCCCCTGGTGCCCACAAGTATCTGAGGGAACTGCACCCAACTGCGCCCGGGATGGCAGGCCTCATGGGAAAGGGGACAGATGCACAGACAGACTTCCTGCCCTATACTAGCCTTCTTTCCACCCATGACCTGTTAATGCAAGCAAGTGTGGCCCAGGACTCAAGTGGACACCATGCCATCCACAAATGGAACCCAGAGATGGCCACGCAGAAGGTCCGAGCCTCCCAGACCACCTCCCGGGCAGGAGGCTGTGGGGACAGTGCTGACATTCAGCCCGGGGACAGGAATGGGATACCTTGTGTCCCTCGTAACGCCGCCGTCTGCTCATGCGGTAGGGCCACACAGCGGAGAAGAGGGCCAGGTAGTTGCCATTGGTCTGTGCCAGGAATACAGGCTCCCGTGGGTGCAAGGCAAGGCTGGGGCAGGTGTACCGCTCCTGAGGGACAGCAAGGACACAAAGAGGGTGGGAGACTCAAACTTCTGCCACCCAGACACCCCAGCAGGCACTGGACCTGGGGGACCTTGTCCTGCCCTCCCCCAGAGCTTGGCTTGGGTCTGTACGAGTTTCTTGTGGTTGCTGTAACAAATGATCCCTGAAAACATGCCACATTTACGGTCTCACATTGTGGAGGCCACAAATCTCCCCTGGGTCTCCCTGAGCTCAAGTCAAGGGGAGGCCAGGGCGCTTCCTCCTGGAGGCTCCAGGGCAGAACTCCATTGTTGCCTTTTCCAGCTTATAGAGGCTGCCCACGTCCCTGGGCTCCTAGCCCTTTAGGTAAACAGGAAACCGTACCCGAAAAGACATCCCTGTGGATGCTCCTTATATGGCAAAAAATAAAGGGTCTTGAGAGGATTTCCAGCGCTTCCCTGACCAGGCAGCTCAGGTAGGGCAGTCTCGGGGAAAAGGAGCGGAATCGCACATAGGAAACCTCTGTCTAGCAGGCAGACAGCCTTTGAACAAACATAAGATCTTATATTTCAAAATTCTGAACTCGTTTTTTTAAAAGATCAAATTGCTGAGGAATTACAGGCATTTTGAGCTTTTGCCTGCCCGCACGTGGCTCCCGCTTCCACGCCTGCACCGACGAGTGCCTCTGCCCCCTGCAGACATTGGAATGCAGGGCTACAGCAACCCCACTTAGAAGGCTGCATTTCCAGAGAAAAGGAAGCATAAACTAACGAAGCCAAACAAATAGAGAGGGATATTGGCTCAGATATCAGGAAATTCGGGGAAACCCGCCCTCAGCCCGGTCCCCGAGGCACAGGCCCCCCGAGGTCCAATCCGCCCAACCCACCCGCTGAGGCCCAAGCTGCCAGATGCCCACCTACTGATACGCAGGCCCCCTGAGGCCCAAATCACCTGCCCGAGGCCAAAACCGCCAGCCCGAGGCCAAAACCACCCAACCAAGGCCCAACCCTCCTGCAGCCCGGTCGCTGACGCGCAGGCCCCCAGAGGCCCAAACCGCCCGCCCTAGGCCCAAACGGCCCGCCACCGAGGCCCAGGCCCAACTGAGGCCCAAAAAAGTTACTCTGAGTTAAGCAATAAGGAGAGAGAAAAGGGAAGACCACATCCTGATCACATCTTCCTGGAGGTAATCAGAAAACAAAAAATTACCAAAACACATACTTAATTAATTATTAGGGCCACAGATAAACATTAAACATGTCCAAGAAAC